GTCTGTGTGGTAAGTGTGCACTACATAAAAAAAATCCTCCAGCACATAGTGCATAATGAGAAAAAACTGCAACCGTGTTTTTGATGTGTAGTCTCGGTTTTTGGTCTCATTTGATAGAATGGAAGATATACTACAGAAATAAAGATGATTTTGATTGGTTTCAGGATGGAAAGTACCTTGAAATTGAGCTCAATGTAACGGAAATGTTCGATTTTTTGCTGATGTTCAAGAGTAAACAAATCAAATCACTCATCCAATATGTGTCCAAGTGGCCAGTCTAATACACTGTCATGAATAGGTTAACATTATTTATACAATTATGCAGTAGTCTGCATAACAGTAAATCTTCCATTTTTCATGTGAATAAAATTTCAAAATGGAAAGCAAGCGTAATAAAAGAGAGGCCTGGAAACGTGACTAATGAACAGAGAAAATGTTATTTTAGTGTCAGGAATTTTTTTTTTTTTCAACAAGTCAGTCATCTCCCACCGAGGCATGGTGACCCAAAAAGAAAATACGTACTTTCATCATCATTAAACACTTTCACCTCAATGATACATAATCACTATCTTTGCAGAGGTGCCCAGATACAACAGTTTAGAAGCATATATAAAGATATATAACATATCCCTCCAAACTGCCAATATCCTAAACCCCTCCTTTAACCCTCTGACTGTTTTGGTCGTATATATACGTCTTACGAGCCAGCGTTTCGAACGTATTAATACGCATAAATTCTACTGGCTTCGAATCAAGCAGGAGAAAGCTGGTAGGCCCACATTTGAGAGAATGGGTCTGTGTGGCCAGTGTGCACCACATAAAAAAAATCCTGCAGCACGCAGTGCATAATGAGAAAAAAAAAAAAACTGACCGTTTTTTTGGATTAAAACGCCGACTCTAAGGTGTATTTTCATATAGTATTTATCGTTTTATTCTCGTTTTCATGATCTCACGTGATAAAATGGAAAACATATTACAGAAATAGAGATGATTTTGATTAGTTTCACGATGAAAACGACCTTGAAATTGAGCTCAAAGTAGCAGAAATGTTCGATTTTTACCAATGTTCAGGAGTAAGCAAATCACACCACACGTCCAATACATGTCAACTGGGGAGTCTAATATTCTTTCACTAGTGCACTGATATTATATATACCATTTTTACAATAATGCAGTAGTCTGCATAACAGTGTATTTTGTATTTTTTGTATGAATAAAAAATCAAAATAGAAAGCAATAGTAATATAAGAGGGGCCTAAAGACATGACTAATGAACAATGGATATGTTATTTTAGTGCCAAGAATGTCTACATTGTTTATTCTGAAATTGGCATCTTTTTTGATTTGCATGAAATTCGCCAAATTGCCAATTTCTGACCACTTTATTGGGTAGTTCAAATCGGTAAATGGGCGGTTTCTTGTACTCAACCGATAGAAAAAATGGAGTTCTAGAGAAATAGCTATGAGTTTGGTCAACTGGAACTACGGAATTGGTCAAAAATAGGGCTCAAAGTCGGCGAAATCGCCGATGCGTATACGTCGCGAGACCGCTAACTTCAAAGGAGTGTAATTCCATGAGTTTTCGACCAAATTTCGTACTTTTAGTGTTATTACCATCGGGAAAAGATTCTCTATCATTTCATAAGAAAAAATAATTTTTTTTTTTCAAAAATTTTGCGACATAGAACGAGTTTCAGAAAGGGGCTTGCGACAGTCAAAAGGTTAAAGTGCAGGCATTGTACTTCCCATTTCCAGTACTCAAGTCGGGCTATATAAAAATAAACGGTTTCCCTGAATCCTTTCACTAAATATTACCCTGCTCACACTCCAACAGCTCAGTCAGGAATGTCTGCATTATTTATTCTGGGCCCTATTTTGCATCTCTTGAAATTTGTGTGAAATTGGCCAAATTGCCAATTTCTGATCACTTTACTGGATAGTTGAAATAGTTAAATGGGCAGTTTCTTGTACTCAATGGACAGAATAGAAGGAATACTAGCAAAAAAAAATAGCAACGAGTTTGGTCGACTGGAACAATGGAATTGGCGAAAATTAGGCCACGAATTGGGCAAAAATCACTGATACATAAATATCACTGTGGGGTTAAGTGCATTCTAACCTATCCACTTTGTAATTGGGCAAAATCACTAATCCGGCACCCTACAGGTCCCGATGATGCCAGATTAGTGATGGTCAACCTGTATAATGTGTGATTTACATGTTATAAAATATTGTACCTGAGCATTTTATAATATATATTCATGTAATGTGTTAAAACCTTTGTGAGCACATCAGACTTGCACTACAAAGGTGAGAGATGAAGGTATTGAGAGAAAGACACTGGCAGAAATCGGGAAGAAGTAATATTTGAGGCAGCAAATTGACGTTAATAAAGAAATCTAAGAGAATCTTAATCAAAGGTGGGACCATCAGAAAGGAGTGTGAACAGAGATGTAGTTAGTATGCTCTCTGATGAATAAGACAACTGATTAACCCCTTGACTGTTGCAACCCCCAATCCTGAGGTGTCCTAGTGTCACAAAATTTAAAAAAAAAAAAAAAAAAAAAAATTCTTATGAAATGATAGAGAATCTTTTCCTGATTGTAATGACACCAAAAAAAAACGAAATTTGATGGAAAACTGTTGAAATTACGCTCTCGCGAAGTTACGACCTCGGCGATATTTACAAATCGACAATTTTGCCCACTTGAGCCCTATTTTTGGCTAATTCCATTGTTCCAGTCGACCAAACTCATAGCTATTTCTTTAGAACTCTGTTTTTTCTATCGATTGAGTACAAAAAACTGCCCATTTACCGATTTCATCTACCAAATAACGTGGTCAGAAATTTGCGATTTGGCCAATTTCATGAAAATTAAAAAATATGACAATTTCAAAATAAGGTCCAGAATGAACAATGCAGACATTCCTGGCTCTAAAATAACATTTTCTTTGTTCATCAGTCATGTCTCCAGGCCCCTCTGATATTACTCTTGCTTTCTATTTTGAATTTTTATTCAAACAAAAAATAGAAGATTTACTGTTATGCAGTCTACTGCAATACTGTAATAATTGTATAAATAACGTCAACCCATTGATGACTGCATATCAGAATGGCTAGTTGGACATTTATTGGGCAATGGCATCATTTGTTTACTTTTGAACATCAGCAAAAATCAAACATTTCCCCTACTTTGAGCTCCATTTCGAGGTTCTTTCTATAGTAAAATTAATCAAAATCACCTCTATTTCTATAATATGTTTTCCATTCTATCAAATGAGACCAAGAAAACGAGAATACAACCATAAATACTATACGAAAATAGACCACAAATTTGGCATTTTTAAATAAAAAAACAGTCGGAGTTTTTTTTTCTCGTTATGCACTGTGTGCTCCAGGATTTTTTTTATATGGTGCACACTGACCACACAATCCCATTCTCTCACATGTGGGCCTACCAGCTTTCTCCTGCTTGATTTGAAACCTCTAGATTTTATGAGTATATATACGTCAAACACGGTACCTCGTAAGACGTATATATATGACCAAAACAGTCATAGGGTTAAAAGTTAAAGAACAAAAAGGCACAATACCATGACTGGAACAATTCACAAATAACCCGCAAATAGGAAGATGATGATGATGATGTTTTAGTCCGACTTGGACCATTTACAAGTCACAAAAAATAACCCACACACAAGACAATGCGAGTTGTTGATGGTACAAGACCAAAATATCGTTATAAGCTTCTTTCTCCTCTGTGCAGGTTATCTGTATATGATTAAAAGTTGTTTGACTGTCAGTACTACCTGACAATTTTTGCAGGATGGTGCTGTCACTCCATAAGATGAATAAATGCACAGCTATGAGAGTATTTTTTTTGGTCCCCATCATCATTTTACTCAGTGCATACCCCTATCCAAGGTTTACATTTTTTTTTTTTAACAAGTCGGCAGTCTTCCACCGAAGCAGGGTGACCCAAAAAGAAAGAAAATCCCCAAAAGAAAATACTTTCATCATTTAACACTTTCACCTCACTCACACATAATCACTGTTTTTGCAGAGGTGCTCAGGATACAACAGTTTAGAAGTATATATGTATAAAGTTACATAACATATCCCTCCAAACTGCCAATATCCCAAACCTCTCTTTTAAAGTGCAGGCAATGTATTTCCCATTCCCAGGACTCAAGTCCGGCTAAATAAAAATAACCGGTTTCCCTGAATCCCTTTCACTAAATATTACCCTGCTCACACTCCAACAGCTCGTCAGGTCCCAAATACCATTCATCTCCATTCACTCCTATCTAACATGCTCATAAAGGTTGAAGGGAGGGGGTAAAGGAGGTTTTGTCGGCGTGGGGCTTGGACGTCCAGCAAGGTTTACATATATACATAATTTCCAGGAGCCTAATCTCCCAAATTACTGGGATCAAGTGTATACTACAATCTAGCATGACATAAAAGCTAAAAACCAACCAAATAAACCAAAATAATGACAAAAAAAAAAGCAAGCGTGTGCCATCTTCACAGCATATGCCACCATCATGATCCTGCCAGGTGCAAGTGACCACCCACTTCTCCGGTAGAGTTTTACATCACTCTTCATAAGTATTTGTATAAGACAGTTGTTATTTGTTTAACCCTTAAACGGTCCAAACAGATCGACGTTCAAATTCATAGTGCTACAAAAGTAGATCTACTTTTTTTTTGCATATTTTCAAATGTAACAAAAAAAAAAGTAGATAAAAGTTTTTTTACACGTTTTCAGATGTAAAACAAAAAAGAAGATCTACATTTTTTTACATACTTTCAGATGCTGAAAAAACGTATATATATGTTTGAACCATTTAAGGGTTAAAATCACTGGCTCAAATGATGTTACCTTTAATTTTTAAAAGGGTGGACCGGTAAGCCACTTCAGCATTGTATCCTCTATTTTCCACAGTTCTTTCATAATGCACTTCCATAAAGAATAACTACTAATTCTCTCACATACCTGCTTCAAGTCCTTTACGGAGGGAGAACAATGCATGGAAATTGAGGAAGGCAAGATGAGGCTTTCCCCAGCGATTGTCAACATCCTCCACATCTTCCTCATACTTGATCCAACGGGCAGTCTCCTTCCACTCAATACGGCCTTCTGAATACTTCAGTTCATCCAACTCAACAAATACCTTGAAAAATAAAAACAATCATAAAGACCATGAAGCATACAGTAACAACAGAAATATTATTTAATGTTTGTAGTAGGTAGTAGGTTGGTAGACAGCAATCGCCCAGGGAGGTACTACCGTCCTACCAAATGAGTGTAAAACGAAAGCCTGTAATTGTTTTACATGATGGTAGGATTGCTGGTGTCCTTTTTTTCTGTCTCATGAACATGCAAGATTTCAGGTATGTCTTGCTACTTCTACTTACACTTAGGTCACACTACACATACATGTACAAGCACATATATACACACCCCTCTGGGTTTTCTTCTCTTTTCTTTCTAGTTCTTATTCTTGTTTATTTCCTCTTATCTCCATGGGGAAGTGGAACAGAATTCTTCCTCCGTAAGCCATGCGTGTTGTAAGAGGCGACTAAAATGCTGGGAGCAAGGGGCTAGTAACCTCTTCTCCTGTATATACTAAATGTAAAAGGAGAAACTTTCGTTTTTCCTTTTGGGCCACCCCGCCTCGGTGGGATACGGCTGGTGTGTTGAAAGAAAGAAAGAAGTAGGTAGTAGGTTGGTAGACAGCAACCACCCAGGGAAGTGCTACTGTCCTGCCAGATGACTGTGAAACAGAAACCTGTAACTGTTTTGCATGATGGTAGGATTGCTGGTGTCTTTTTCTGTCTCATAAACACGCTAGATAACAGGGATATCTTGCTACTCCTACTTACACTTTGGTCACACTTCACAGACACGCACATGCATATATATACAGTGGACCCCCGCTTTACGATCAGCTCCCAATGCGACCAATTATGTAAGTGTATTTATGTAAGTGAGTTTGTACGTGTATGTTTGGGGGTCTGAAATGGACTAATCTAATTCACAATATTCCTTATGGGAACAAATTCGTACAGTACTGGCACCTGAACATACTTCTGGAATGAAATAATATCGTAAACCAGGGGTCCACTGTATACATACATCTAGGTTTTTCTCCTTTTTCTAAATAGCTCTTGTTCTTTATTTCTTCTATTGTCCATGGGGAAGTGGAAAAGAATCTTTCCTCCGTAAGCCATGCGTGTCGTATGAGGCGATTAAAATGCCGGGAGCGATGGGCTAGTAACCCCTTCCCCTCAGGGAAGGTTCCTTGATGTTGGTGAGGGGCTCTTGATTTAGGGAACTGGATCTGTGCTCCAGTTCCCCGAATTCAGCCTGAATGCTTTCCACCTCCCCCCAGGCGCTGTATAATCCTATGAGTTTAGCGCTCCCCCCTTGATTATAATAATAATAATAATAGTAACCCCTTCTCCTGTAGACATTTACTAAAAAGAAGAAGAAGAAAAACTTTATAAAACTGGAATGCTTGAAAGTTGGATGTCCTGGCCCTAAGCGAAACAAAGCTGATGGGGGTAGGGGAGTTTCAGTGGGGGGAAATAAATGGGATTAAATCTGGAGTATCTGAGAGAGTTAGAGCTAAGGAAGGGGTAGCAGTAATGTTGAAGGATCAGTTATGGAAGGAGAAAAGAGAATATGAATGTGTAAATTCAAGGATTATGTGGATTAAAGTAAAGGTTGGATGCGAAAAGTGAGTCATAATAAGCGTGTATGCACCTGGAGAAGAGAGGAATGTAGAGGAGAGAGAGAGATTTTGGAGATGTTAAGTGAATGTATAGGAGCCTTTGAACCAAGTGAGAGAGTAATTGTGGTAGGGGACCTGAATGCTAAAGTAGGAGAAACTTTTAGAGAGGGTGTTGTAGGTAAGTTTGGGGTGCCAGGTGAAAATGATAATGGGAGCCCTTTGATTGAACTTTGTATAGAAAGGGGTTTAGTTATAGGTAATACATATTTCAAGAAAATGAGGATAAATAAGTATACAAGATATGATGTAGGGCGAAATGACAGTAGTTTGTTGGATTATGTATTAGTAGATAAAAGACTGTTGAGTAGACTTCAGGATGTACATGTTTATAGAGGGGCCACAGATATATCAGATCACTTTATAGTTGTAGCTACACTGAGAGTAAAAGGTAGATGAGATACAAGGAGAATAGAAGCATCAGGGAAGAGAGAGGTGAAGGTTTATAAACTAAAAGAGGAGGCAGTTAGGGTAAGATATAAACAGCTGTTGGAGGATAGATGGGCTAATGAGAGCATAGGCAATGGGGTCGAAGAGGTATGGGGTAGGTTTAAAAATGTAATGTAAGAGTGTTCAGCAGAAGTTTGTGGTTACAGGAAAGTGCGTGCGGGAGGGAAGAGGAGCGATTGGTGGAATGATGATGTAAAGAGAGTACTAAGGGAGAAAAAGTTAGCATATGAGAAGTTTTTACAAAGTAGAAGTGATGCAAGGAGGGAAGAGTATATGGAGAAAAAGAGAGAGGTTAAGAGAGTGGTGAAGCAATGTAAAAAGAGAGCAAATGAGAGAGTGGGTGAGATGTTATAAACAAATTTTGTTGAAAATAAGAAAAAGTTTTGGAGTGAGATTAACAAGTTAAGGAAGCCTAGAGAACAAATGGATTTTTTTTTTTTTTTCAACAAGTCGGCCGTCTCCCACCGAGGCAGGGTGACCCAAAAAAGAAAGAAAATCCCCAAAAAGAAAATGCTTTCATCATCATTCAACACTTTCACCACACTCACACATTATCACTGTTTTTGCAGAGGTGCTCAGAATACAACAGTTTAGAAGCATATACGTATAAAGATACACAACATATCCCTCCAAACTGCCAATATCCCAAACCCCTCCTTTAAAGTGCAGGCATTGTGCTTCCCATTTCCAGGACTCAAGTCTGACTATATGAAAATAACCTGTTTCCCTGAATCCCTTCACTAAATATTACCCTGCTCACACTCCAGCAGATCGTCAGGTCCCAAGTATCATTCGTCTCCATTCACTCCTATCTGACACGCTCACGCACGCTTGCTGGAAGTCCAAGCCCCTCGCCCACAAAACCTCCTTTACCCCCTCTCTCCAACCCTTTCGAGGGCAACCCCTACCCCTCCTTCCTTCCCCTATAGATTTATATGCTTTCCATGTCATTCTACTTTGATCCATTCTCTCTAAATGACCAAACCACCTCAACAACCCCTCTTCTGCCCTCTGACTAATGCTTTTATTAACTCCACACCTTCTCCTAATTTCCACACTCCGAATTTTCTGCATAATATTTACACCACACATTGCCCTTAGACAGGACATCTCCACTGCCTCCAACCGTCTCCTTGCTGCTGCATTTACCACCCAAGCTTCACATCCATATAAGTGTTGGTACCACTATACTTTCATACATTCCCTTCTTTGCCTCCATAGATAGCGTTTTTTTGACTCCACATATACCTCAACGTACCACTCACCTTTTTTCCCTCATCAATTCTATGATTAACCTCATCCTTCATAAATCCATCCGCCGACACGTTAACTCCCAAGTATCTGAAAACATTCACTTCTTCCATACTCCTCCTCCCCAATTTGATACCCAATTTTTCTTTATCTAAATCATTTGATACCCTCATCACCTTACTCTTTTCTATGTTCACTTTCAACTTTCTACCTTTACACACATTCCCAAACTCATCCACTAACCTTTGCAATTTTTCTTTAGAAATCTCCCATAAGCACAGTATCATCAGCAAAAGTAACTGTGTCCAATTCCCATTTTGAATTTGATTCCCCATAATTTAATCCCACCCCTCTCCCGACCACCCTAGCATTTACTTCTTTTACAACCCATCTATAAATATATTAAACAACCATGGTGACATTACACATCCCTGTCTAAGACCTACTTTTACCGGAAGTATTCTCCCTCTCTTCTACACACCCTAACCTGAGCCTCGCTATCCTCATAAAAACTCTTAACAGCATTTAGTAACTTACCACCTATTCCATATACTTGCAACATCTGCCACATTGCTCCTCTATCCACTCTATCATATGCCTTTTCTAAATCCATAAATGAAATAAAAACTTCCCTACCTTTATCTAAATACTGTTCACATATATGCTTCAATGTAAACACTTGATCTACACATCCCCTACCACTCTGAAGCCTCCCTGCTCATCCGCAATCCTACATTCTGTCTTACCTCTAATTCTTTCAATTATAACCCTACTGTACACTTTTCCTGGTATACTCAGTAAACTTATTCCTCTATAATTTTTACAATCTCTTTTGTCCCCTTTCCCTTTATATAAAGGGAATATACATGCTCTCTGCCAATCCCTAGGTACCTTCCCCTCTTTCATACATTTATTAAACAAAAGTACCAACCACTCCAACACTATATCCCCCCCTGCTTTTAACATTTCTGTCATGATCCCATCAGTTCCAGCTGCTTTACCCCCTTTCATTCTACGTAATGCCTCACATACCTCCACCACACTTACATTCTGCTCTTCTTCACTCCTAAAAGATGGTATACCTCCCTGGCCAGTGCATGAAATTACCACCTCCCTTTCTTCCTCAACATTTAAAAGTTCCTCAAAATATTCTCGCCATCTACCTAATACCTCCCTCTCCCCATCTACTAACTCCCCTACTCTGCGTTTTTAACTGACAAATCCATATTTTCCCTAGGCTTTCTTAACTTGTTTAACTCACTCCAAAATTTTTTCTTATTTTCATTAAAATTTCTTGACAGTGCCTCTCCCACTCTATCATCTGCTCTCCTTTTGCACTCTCACCACTCTCTTCACCTTTCTTTTATTCTCTGTTGCGGCCCCCTGCCAAACTAGCGGTTAAATAGTTAACCTGCCGGCCGGCAGTACCACTGGGTACGTCACCAAACCCAATGTGGGGACTGCTGAGCCGGCCTTAGAACATTAAGTACCTGAGTGCCTCACGGTGCGCATCTAAGCAGTAGGTACCTGACCACCTAATCGTACACCTCTACTGGCTTTAGAAGCATTAAGTACCTGGGTGCCTCACGGTGCGCATCTAAGCAGTAGGTACCTGACCACCTAATCGTACACGTCTACTGGCTTCAGCTACATTATGTACCTGAGCACCTCATGGTACGCACCGCAACATTAAGTACCTGAGTGCCTCTTGGTACGCACCTAAGCAGTAGGTACCTGAACACCTAAAGGTACACGTCTACTGGCTTCAGCAACATTATGTACCTGAGTGCCTCTTGGTACGCACCTAAGCAGTAGGTACCTGAACACCTAAGGGTACACGTCTACTGGCTTTAGCAACATTAAGTACCTGAACACCTCAGGGTACGCATCTAAGCAGTAGGTACCTGGACACCTAATGGTACACAGCTACTGGCTTTAGAAACATCTACGCAGTAGGCACCTGAACACCTAATCGTACCTATCTACTGGCGTTAGAAGAACCGCTCACCGCAGCTCACTGAGTCTGTTGGCCTCAGTTACTTGACGGCCGCATTCAGTGAGCTTGCAGCATGGTGTTCGGCTAGCGGTGTGTCAATCGGCTTTGGAGAGGATTTACTGGACTACCGGTGATGTCTGTGGACTCACCGCCTATGCTTGTCAACTGTGGGCCGGAGTCATCTGATGCTGTTTAGTGGGACATTACATGAAGAAAAGGTTGGAGTGTTACACTGAACTGGGCCAGGACCGTAGTGTGACACTTAAGCAAGTATGATGGAGTGGAACACTAAGATATGCACAGGACCGTAGTGGAACACTGAGATGAAAAGGGTGTCGTGTGACACTGAAGATGGCCTGAATGTAGTGTACATTGAATAGTGTCATGTGACTGGCCTCGACGGGTATGCTATGCGGGTAGTGTGACGCAGAGACAAGGGTGTCAAGTGTGACACGGTTGCGAAAGTGTGTGTATTACATGGAGAAAAGGGTGTCAAGTGACACGGTGGAGAAAGAGCGTCACAACTCGGATAAGTGTCGTGAGAAACAGTTGATTGTAATTTATTATTTTAAATGTTACTTAATTTATTATTTTAGCATATAGATATATGACACAGTAGTGTCAAGAGTTGTACCCTGTGTAGGGTCGGGAATTATTTATTATTTTAGTAAATTGCTAATTATAATTTATTATTGTAACATGTATATATTATCAGATGTTAGTTCAAATACCTCTAGACCAAAGATAGTTGATTTTTATATTATATTAAAGATTAATTTATTTTAATGTGTGTATTTATGTATCCCGAACTCTTTATTACAAAAGGAGTAAATCTTACAATCTTTAAAAAATTACTTTTTTTGTAATACTCTCCATATACTCTGCTCTTCTTATAACACTTCTGCTTTGTAAAAACCTCTCATAAGCTACCTTTTTCTCTTTTATCACACCCTTTACTTCATCAATCCACCAATCGCTCCTCTTTCCTCCTGCCCCCACCCTCCTATAACCACAAACTTCTGCCCCACATTCTAATACTGCATTTTTAAAACTATTCCAACCCTCTTCAACCCCCCCACTACTCATCTTTGAACTAGCCCACCTTTCTGCCAATAGTCGCTTATATCTCGCCCGAACTTCCTCCTCCCTTAGTTTATACACTTTCACCTCCCTCTTACTTGTTGTTGCCACCCTTCCTCTTTTCCCATCTACCTCTTACTCTAACTGTAGCTACAACTAAATAATGATCCGATATATCAGTTGCCCCTCTATAAACATGTACATCCAGGAGCCTACCCATCAACCTTTTATCCACCAATACATAATCTAACAAACTACTTTCATTATGTGCTACATCATACCTTGTATATTTATTTATCCTCTTTTTTCATAAAATATGTATTACTTATTACCAAATTTCTTTCTACACATAGCTCAATTAAAGGCTCCCCATTTACATTTACCACTGGCACCCCAAATTTACCTACTACTCCCTCCATAACATTTTTACCCACTTTAGCACTGAAATCCCCAACCACCATTACCCTCACACTTGATTCAAAACTCCCACGCATTCACTCAACATTTCCCAAAATCTCTCTCTCTCCTCTACACTTCTCTCTTCTTCAGGTGCATACACGCTTACTATAACCCACTTTTCACATCCAATCTTTATTTTACTCCACATAATACTTGAATTAATACATTTGTAGTCCCTCTTTTCCTGCCATAGCTTATCCTTCAACATTATTGCTACTCCTTCTTTAGCTCTAACTCTATTTGAAACCCCTGACCCAATCCCATTTATTCCTCTCCATTGAAACTCTCCCACCCCCTTCAGCTTTGTTTCACTTAAAGCCAGGACATCCAGTTTCTTCTCATTCATAACATCCACAATCATCTCTTTCTTATCATTTGCACAACATCCATGCACATTCAGACTTCCCACTTTGACAATTTTCTTCTTATTCTTTTTAGTAATCTTTACAGGAAAAGGGGTTATTAGCCCATTGTTCCCGGCATTTTAGTTGACTTTTACAACACGCATGGCTTACGGAGGAAAGATTCTTATTCCACATCCCCATGGATATAAAAGGAAAAGTAATAAGACCAAGAACTATTAAGATAAAATCAAAGAAAACTCAGATGAGTGTGTCAGTTAAAAATAGGAGAGGAGAGTTATTAAATGGAGAGTTAGAGGTATTGGGAAGATGGAAGGAATATTTTGAAGAATTGTTAAATGTTGATGAAGATAGGGAAGCTGTGATTTCGTGTATAGGGCAAGGAGGAATAACATCTCGTAGGAGTGAGGAAGAGCCAGTTGTGAGTGTGGGGGAAGTTCGTGAGGCAGTAGGTAAAATGAAAGGGGGTAAGGCAGCCGGGATTGATGGGATAAAGATAGAAATGTTTAAAAGCAGGTGGGGATATAGTTTTGGAGTGGTTGGTGCAATTATTTAATAAATGTATGGAAGAGGGTAAGGTACCTAGGGACTGGCAGAGAGCATGCATAGTTCCTTTGTATAAAGGCAAAGGGGACAAAAGAGAGTGCAAAAATTATAGGGGGATAAGTCTGTTGAGTATACCTGGTAAAGTGAATGGTAGAGTTATTATTGAAAGAATTAAGAGTAAGACGGAGAATAGGATAGCAGATGAACAAGGCTTTAGGAAAGGTAGGGGGTGTGTGGACCAGGTGTTTACAGTGAAACATATAATTGAACAGTATTTATATAAGGCTAAAGAGGTTTTTGTGGCATTTATGGATTTGGAAGATGTTGCAGGTGTATGATGTAGGAGGTAGGTTACTGAAAGCAGTGAAGAGTTTTTACGAGGATAGTGAGGCTCAAGTTAGAGTATGTAGGAAAGAGGGAGATTATTTCCCAGTAAAAGTAGGCCTTAGACAAGGATGTGTGATGTCACCGTGGTTGTTTAATATATTTATAGATGGGGTTGTAAGAGAAGTAAATGCGAGGGTCTTGGCAAGAGGCGTGGAGTTAAAAGATAAAGAATCACACGTAAAGTGGGAGTTGTCACAGTTGCTCTTTGCTGATGACACTGTGCTCTTGGGAGATTCGAAGAGAAGTTGCAGAGGTTGGTGAAGAATTTGGTAGGGTATGCAAAAAAAGAAATTAAAATGAATACGGGAAAAGGGTAAGGTTATGAGATAACAAAAAGATTGGGTGATGAAAGATTGGATTCAGATTGGGGGAGAGAGTAGGGAGGGGGTGAATGTATTCGATTTTTGGGAGTGGATTGTCAGCGGGGGGTTCTATAAAAAGATGGGGAATCAAAAATTGATGAGGGGAAAAGGGGTGAGCGGTGCATTTTGGAGTCTGTGGGGGAAAAGAACTTTGTCCTCGGAGGCAAAGGGGAAATGATGAGAGTAATTTTTACCAACTTCTTATTGGGTTGAACAGGGGTGAAAATGTTGCAGTGGGGAGAAGGTGGAGGCAGTGGGATGTCTGTCTGAGGGAAATGTATGGTGTGAATATAAGCAGAAAATTCGTTTTTGGAAGTTAGGGGAGGGGCGGAAAACCAAAACTGTTGTCCAAGGGCTGAGGAAGGGTTGTGGGTGGTTTGGACATGTAGAGAGAAGGGAGTGAAACAGAATGACTTCAAGGTGTATCAGTCGTAGTGGAAGGAAGGCGGGTAAGGGTGGGCCAAAGAAAGGTTGGAGGGAGGGAAAAGGGGGGTTTTGTGGTGAGGGGCTTGGATTCAGCAGGCATGCGGAGCATGTTGATAGAGTGAATGAAAAATTTTTTTAATATTGATGTCTGTTGAGTGTGAGAAAAGTAACATTTATAAGGGATTCGGGGAACCCGGGCAGGCCGGATTTGAGTCTTGGAGATGGGAAGTACAGTGCCTGCACTCTAAGGAGGGTGTTAATTTTTCAGTTTAAAAAGTAGGAAAAAGCCCCCCTTCGGGAAGACAGTGAGGAGTAATGATGGTGAAAGTTTTTTTTTCGGGCCACATTGTTTTGGGGGAAATGGCCAGTTTTTTAAAAAAAAAAAAAAAAAAAAAGCAAATTTCTCTATTTACTCTCCCAAATTTTAACCCGTCCTCTTTTCCAAATCATCTGTGGGATAATTTATGCACAACTTAAGGAAGAAAAAGAAACAAAACTAGGTGGTGGTATAAGGGTATAATTTAGAGAAGGGTTATTGGATAGTTGAATAGTGAAAAATAGTTCAGAAAGCCCTATAAATGAGACCTTTTGGCAACATTTGGGTTCCTTATTTGGACACTAATCAAGATTTAGGATTTAAAACATCAACTCCCCCGGGTGAGGGACTGTTACCTCAAACCCCCTCCTCTCTTCACATTTTTTTTGCACTAATTTAAGAAGCCACTGACTGGTGAAACATTTCCCAAATAAAGAACCCAAATTTTCACAAGTTCTCATTTATCATAACCGGTCTTTTAGAAAGAGGGTTTGAAAGATTATCATTACAGTAACTTTAGTAAATATCCTAGGGAATTAAAGAAAAACGATAATATTACAGAATACACTTAGATAAAATGGCTTAAAAAAGCTAGAGTAAAATATTTTTCCCTTAATGTATATTTAATTTATAGAAACAAAGCTAAGTGAATGTTCAAAATTTCATGAATTACATAACTAAGAAAACTAACCTCATGAGGACTGTGGTCAAAATTTTTTTTTAAGAAAGGCAAACTGGCGGTCAGGTTTTATTTTCTCCCCCTTTTCCCGCAGAATGATGGGAAAAATGATGAGGTGCCGTACCGTGGACGTCTGTAGGCACTCGGGTCATCAAACCTGTGACCTAGGGTAATAAGCAAACAAATCAATTGTTACACAAAATATACAAGTGGGTTTTCATAAGTTTATTGAACTGCTGAATTAGAAAAAAAAAAGATTTTTGAATTGAAAATCTGCAACTTTTGGCAAGACGCCATTTAAAGAGTGATGGCAAATGTGTTTTCTTTAGTGGTTTACTCTATCTTGTTGGAAAATGGCTGATGTGTACAAATACACAGTAGGACCGTCATATTAATGATGAAAAAGTGCTAATTTTCCACTTATTGTGTGTAATTTATCAATTAAATTTATATGGTATGTAGTAACCAAAAAATGACCTATAATGGGGTTCACTATTACCCCCGGTTTTGGGTACCACAGTAGTCTTGGTCATATCACCCGGGATATGGGGGGACTCTGTCCCTCTCTTAGTGGAAAGGGCTGGGGTTTTTAATAAAATATATTTAAACACATATCCAACTGTAGTGTTAGAGTGTTCAGCAAAAATTTTGTGGGTTACAGGAATGGGGCAGGAGGGAAGAGGGCTTTGGGGGATGATGGTAAAGAGAGTAGAAAGGGGAAAAATTTTACATTGAGAATTTTTTAAAAAAGTAGAAGTGAGCAAGGGGGGAAGAGTATATGGAGAAAAAAGAGAAGTTAAAGAGGGGTGAAGCAATGTAAAAAGAGAGAAAATGAGAAGTGGGTGAGATTTTATCAAAAATTTTTTTGTTGAAAAAAAAAAAGTTTTGGGTGAGATTAACAAGTTTAAAAAGCTAGAGAACAAAAGGGGTTTGTCAGTTAAAAATGGGGGGAGATTATTTAAAAGGAGAGTTAAGGGGATTTGGGGAAAATGGAGGAAATTTTGAGGAATTGTTAAATGTTGTAAGATAGGGGAAATGTGAAATTTGTGTATAGGGGAAGGAGGAAAAACACTTGGTGGAGTGAGGAAGAGCCAGTTGGATTGGGGGAAATTCTGAGGCAGTAGGTAAAATGAAAGGGGTAAGGGAGCCGGGTGTGGGGTAAAGTAGAAATGTTAAAAGAGGGGGGGAAAAGTTTTGGAGGGTTTGGGGCAATTTTTTAAAAAATGTATGGAGAGGGGAAGGGACCTGGGATTGCAAGAGAGCATAGTTCCCTTTTTATAAAGGGAAAGGGGATAAAAGAAGTGCAAAAATTAAGGGGATAAGTCTGTTGATTTTACTGGTAAGGTGTATGGTAGAGTTATAATTGAAAGAATTAAAAGTAAGACGGAGAATAGGATAGCAATGAACAAGGAGGCTTTAGGAAAGGTAGGGGTGTGTGGACCAGGTGTTTACAGTGAAACATATAAGTGAAACAGTATTAGATAAGGCTAAAGAGGTCTTTGTGGCATTTTATGGATTTGGAAAAGGCGTATGACAGGGTGGATAGGGGGGCAATGTGGCAGATGTTGCAAGTGTATGGTGTAGGAGGTAGGTTACTGAAAGCAGTGAAGAGTTTTTACGAGGATAGTGAGGCTCAAGTTAGAGTATGTAGGAAAGAGGGAAATTTTTTCCCAGTAAAGGTAGGCCTTAGACAAGGATGTGTGATGTCACGTGGTTGTTTAATATATTTATAGATGGGGTTGTAAGAGAAGTAAATGCGAGGGTCTTGGCAAGAGGCGTGGAGTTAAAAGATAAAGAATCACACACAAAATGGGAGTTGTCACAGCTGCTCTTTGCTGATGACACTGTGCTCTTGGGAGATTCTGAAGAGAAGTTGCAGAGATTGGTGGATGAATTTGGTAGGGTGTGCAAAAGAAGAAAAGTAAAGGTGAATACAGGAAAGAGTAAGGTTATGAGGATAACAAAAAGATTAGGTGATGAAAGATTGAATATCAGATTGGAGGGAGAGAGTATGGAGGAGGTGAACGTATTCAGATATTTGGAGTGGACGTGTCAGCGGATGGGTCTATGAAAGATGAGGTGAATCATAGAATTGATGAGGGAAAAAGAGTGAGTGGTGCACTTAGGAGTCTGTGGAGACAAAGAACTTTGTCCTTGGAGGCAAAGAGGGGAATGTATGAGAGTATAGTTTTACCAACGCTCTTATATGGGTGTGAAGCGTGGGTGATGAATGTTGCAGCGAGGAGAAGGCTGAGGCAGTGGAGATGTCATGTCTGAGGGCAATGTGTGGTGTGAATATAATGCAGAGAATTCGTAGTTTGGAAGTTAGGAGGAGGTGCGGGATTACCAAAACTGTTGTCCAGAGGGCTGAGGAAGGGTTGTTGAGGTGGTTCGGACATGTAGAGAGAATGGAGCGAAACAGAATACTTCAAGAGTGTATCACCCTGTATGGAAGGAAGGCGGGGTGGGGGTCGGCCTAGGAAGGGTTGGAGGGGGGGGGTAAAGGAGGTTTGTGTGCGGGGGGCTTGGGACTTCCAGCAGGCAGCGTGAGCGTGTTTGATAGGATGAATGGAGACAAATGGTTTTTAATACTTGACGTGCTGTTGGAGTGTGAGCAAAGTAACATTTATGAAGGGATTCAGGGAAACCGGCAGGCCGGACTTGAGTCCTGGAGATGGGAAGTACAGTGCCTGCACTCTGAAGGAGGGGTGTTAATGTTGCAGTTTAAAAACTGTAGTGTAAAGCACCCTTCTGGCAAGACAGTGATGGAGTGAATGATGGTGAAAGTTTTTCTTTTTCGGGCCACCCTGCCTTGGTGGGAATCGGCCAGTGTGATAATAAAAAAATAAATACCATACATATTATACCCTACCTCATGTGAAAAGAAACCAGGTATAACAAATCTATTAACCAGATACAAGTCAACTGAATTAAGATAATTGTAAGAGGAATCCTCACAGTACCATTTTTTTATGGAGTAAATGTGTCCAAATTATGCCTCCCTTCCTCTCCACTATTCTTCCTCTCTCTTTCCCATTCCCCTCCCTCCCTCCCTAGTTTCTTACCACTGCTGATTCCTCTTAAATGTGCAATAAAGTCTAGCTATCCATTCAATCTTCAAATATAACAGATTTTCTTGCAATTACATAATGCTTTTAAACAAGAGTCAAGCTTATCAAAACTAATCAACTTACTTGTCATATCATCAAGGTCATGACCAATCAAATTTCTAGCCTCATCTTCAGTTGTTGGAGCCGTATATGACTGCAAGTTGTGCTCACTACCAGCATGACGGCGCCAGGCAGGATCCTCTACAGCGTCCCGACGCCTGCTCTTGTTTGACCGTCTGAAAGAGGATCAAGAGGAAAGGTTACATATACAGTATTTAATATGTTTGACCGTCTGAAAGAGGATCAAGAGGAAAGGTTACATATACAGTATTTAATAATTTCAAGTCCTAAAAAACATACTTTTAAATGTAACAGTTAATGAAGAAATATATTCCCAATACAAATTATTACTGACTCAGACATAAATGAGTATGGTCACAATTTCTAAACATCTCATAAAGACTCAAAAATTACAACTATATTATCAATATTAAAGGTAGTAGGTCAGTAGACAGTAACCACCCAGGGAGGTGTACTACCATCCTGCCAAGTGAGTGTAAAACGGAAGCCTGTAATTGTTTTACATTATGTAGTATTGCTAATGTCTTTTTTGTCTCATAAACATGCAAGGTTTCAGGTATGTCTTGCCACTTCTGCTTACACTTAGGTCACACTACACATGCATGTACAAGGATATATATACACATTCCTCTGGGTTTTCTTCTATTTTTATTACTAGTTCTTGTCCCTGTTTGTTTCCTCTTATCTCCATAAGCTATGCATGTCATAAGAAGCAATTAAAGTGGTGGGAGCAAGAGGCTAGTAACACCTTCTCCTGGATATATTACTAAAGTTAAAAAGAGAGACTTTCGTTTTTCTTTTAGGGCCACCCTGCTTTGGTAGGATATGGCCAATTTGTTGAAAGAAGAAGGAAGATTATCAATATGTAGTTAGCACTCAATCTATAAAATATTACACAATCTTTTAATTCACTCGTTAATATAAATTAAAAGTCCCAACACTATGGGTATCCCTAAATGTAAAATACAACCACAGAGGCCACTAGAATAATGCTCCACCAGACTCTTAGTACACTCTGTCAGAATGTGATTTCCAACTCATATACAGGGCATTACTTGTTATGTATATTCAGCCAATTCTCTTTAAAAACCCTTTGAGGGTTTACCGTACGGACTAGTACGTCTTACACGTAGGGGTTTTTGACGTACTAGTAGCTCATAAATTCTTAGCGGCCTCAAATCTAGTGTGAGAAAACTGGTAGGCCTCATATGAAAGATTGGTCTATGTGGTCAGGTGCACATCTAAAAAAAATCCTGCAGACACAGTGCCTAATGAGAAACAAAAAAACTTTGACATTTTTTTTTAATAAATCACGACTTTTGCAGTGTATGTCCGTATGGTATTTATGTTGTATTCCTAGTTTTTCTTGGTCTCATTTTATAGAATGGAAGGACATATTACAAAAAGAGATGATTTGACTGGTCTTTAGAAGGAAAGAAAGGTGCCTTGAAATTGGAGCTCAAAGTAGCAGATAGAAATGTTCGATTTTTACCAAACTTCAAAGTAACAAATCGGGCCAAGCGTGCATACACGTCAAACCTGTGAGTCTAATATTCTTTTCACAAATGCACCAATAATATTTATAACCATTTTTTACACTAATGCAGTAGTCCTGCATAACAGTAAATCTTATATTTTTGGAAAATAAAAATTCAAAGTGGAAAGCAAAAGAATATAAGAGGGGCCTTGAGACGTGACTATGACTAGAGAGAATGTCATTTAGTGCCAGGAATGTCTTTCTTGTTTAGTCTGGACCCTATTCGGAAATTGCATCTTTGAATTTGTGTAAATTGGCAATATTGCTAAATTCTTACCACAGTACTGGATAGTTGAATTTCATAAATAGTGGTTTCTTGCAAGCCATTCGATAGAAAACATGGAGTTTCTCGCGAAATATTCATGTTTTTTTGTCGACTAGTACATTAAATGGCCGAAAATGGGGCTCAAAGTGGGGCAAAATCGCCGATGTGTAAACATCGCCGAGACCACTAACTTTGCGAGAGCATAATTTCCTAAGTTTTCTATCAAATTTCAAACTTTTGGTGTCTTTAATGATCGGGAAAAGATTCTCTATCTTTTCATAAGATAAAATAATTTTTTTTTTTTTTTAAATTTGGCCGACCCTGAGAACGAGTTTCGGAGAAGGCCTGTCGACCCTCAAAGGGTTAAACTCGCATTTCATTACTTTCTTTCACATAAAGAGCCCCAAGATTGGGAATTCATTGTCTGAACCTGCAAAAGGTCCCTTGTCTGCCATTTAATTCAGGGCTATAATAAAAAAATCACTCATCTCCCAAATTTAACTATACCAACACTATACTATGCCTGAAATCATAGCTCCAGTTTGAAACTACTCAAAAAATCCAAATTAACTCAAGATCACTAAATAAATTATAAGGATTAAATACACACTTAAAACTGTATTACAGTACTGTACTAATGTAAATTGTACTGCATAATCATAATATATTTTGCTGCCTGTCTATTATAAATTTTGCTACCTCCCATATGAGAAGTTTTTACAAAGTAGAAGTGATGCAAGGAGGGAAGAGTATATGGAGAAAAAGAGAGAGGTTAAGAGAGTGGTGAAGCAATGTAAAAAGAGAGCAAATGAGAGAGTGGGTGAGATGTTATCAACAAATTTTGTTGAAAATAAGAAAAAGTTTTGGAGTGAGATTAACAAGTTAAGAAAGCAAGAAACAAAGGATTTGTCAGTTAAAAAATAGAGAGGAGAAAGTTATTAAATGGAGAAGTTAGAGGTATTGGGAAGATGGAGGAATATGTTGAGGAATGTATAATGTTGATGAAGATAGGAAGCGGTGATTTCGTGTATAGGGCAAGGAGAATAACACTTGAAGGAGTGAGGAAGACCAGTTGATGAGTGTGGGGGAAGTTCGGAGGCAGTAAGGTAAAATGAAAGGGGGTAAGGCAGCCGGGATTGATGGGATAAATATAAGAAATGTTAAAAGCAGGTGGGGAATATAGTTTTGGAGGGGTTTGTGCAATGATTTAATTAATGTTATAGAAAGGGTAAGGTACCTAGTATTAGGCAGAGAGCATGCATAGTTTTCCTTGTATAAAGCAAAGGGGATTAAAAGATAGTGCAAAAATTATAGGGGGATAAGTCTGTTGAGTATACCTGGTAAAGTGTTTGGTATAGTATAATTGAAAGAATTAAGAGTAAGACGGAGAAAGGATAGCAGATGACAAGGAGGCTTAGGAAAGGTAGGGGTGTGTGACCAGGGTTTACAGTGAAACATATAAGTGAACAGTAGTTTAGATAAGGCTAAAGAGGTCTTTGTGGCCTTTTATGGATTTGGAAAAGGCTAGACAGGGGTGGATAGGGGGGCAATGTGGCAGATGTTGCAAGTGTCTGGTGTATGGAGGTAGTTACTGGAAAGCAGTTTAGAGTTTTTACAAAGGATAGTGAGCTCAAGGTTAGAGTATGTATGAAAGAGGGAAATTTTTCCCCAGTATAAGGTAGGCCTTAACAAGGATGTGTGAAGTCCACCGGTTTAATATATTTAAAGAGGGGTTGTACGAGAAGTAAATGCGAGTCTTGGCAAGAGCATGGAGTTTAAAAGATAAAGAAATCACACACAAAGTGGAGTTGTCACAGCTGCTCCTTTGCTGATGACACTGTGCTCTTGGGAGATTCTGTGAAGAGAAGTTGCAGAGATTGGTGGATGAATTTGGTAGGGTGTGCAAAAGAAGAAAATTAAAGGTGAATACAGGAAAGAGTAAGGTTATGAGGATAACAAAAAGATTAGGTGATGAAAGATTGGATATCAGATTGGAGGGAGAGAGTATGGAGGAGGTGAACGTATTCAGATATTTGGGAGTGGACGTGTCAGCGGATGGGTCTATGAAAGATGAGGTGAATCATAGAATTGATGAGGGAAAAAGAGTGAGTGGTGCACTTAGGAGTCTGTGGAGACAAAGAACTTTGTCCTTGGAGGCAAAGAAGGGAATGTATGAGAGTATAGTTTTACCAACGCTCTTATATGGGTGTGAAGCGTGGGTGATGAATGTTGCAGCAAGGAGAAGGCTGGAGGCAGTGGAGATGTCATGTCTGAGGGCAATGTGTGGTGAGAATATAATGCAGAGAATTCATAGTTTGGAAGTTAGGAGGAGGTGCGGGATTACCAAACTGTTGTCCAGAGGGCTGAGGAAGGGTTGTTGAGGTGGTTCGGACATGTAGAGAGAATGGAGCGAAAACAGAATGACTTCAAGAGTGTATCAGTCTGTAGTGGAAGGAAGGCGGGTAGGGGTCGGCCTAGGAAAGGTTGGAGGGAGGGGGTAAAGGAGGTTTTGTGTGCGAGGGGCTTGGACTTCCAGCAGGCATGCGTGAGCGTGTTTGATAGGAGTGAATGGAGACAAATGGTTTTTAATACTTGACGTGCTGTTGGAGTGTGAGCAAAGTAACATTTATGAAGGGCTTCAGGGAAACCGGCAGGCCGGACTTGAGTCCTGGAGATGGGAAGTACAGTGCCTGCACTCTGAAGGAGGGGTGTTAATGTTGCAGTTTAAAAACTGTAGTGTAAAGTACCCTTCTGGCAAGACAGTGATGGAGTGAATGATGGTGAAAGTTTTTCTTTTTCGGGCCACCTTGCCTTGGTGGGAATCAGCCAGTGTGATAATAATAATAAAAAAAACATAATTAAAATTTACCACTCCTTAACCTGTGCCTAGCTTTAAGTAATCTGTAAGCAATAGTATTAGTCTGTCCAAAATGTTCATGGATTCTAGTGGCTTTCTTTGTCTTTGACATTATTATATTACATGTAAACTACACATTGTACTATATTACTGTACAAAAAAATAAAGGATTTCATTTGATTTGACTCAAATATCAGTATTCACTGTGTATGTTCTTTTAATTCAAATATTATGTTTCCAAGCTTCACCACATTCACCTAAGCAGGTGTATGGTTACAGCTGAAGCTCCTACCTCCTAACACTATTATCAACATCGGTTCATTCATCTTTCTTTCATAGAGATTCTGAAGCCTGTTCAATGCTTTATAATTTAACATTACATACACTGTACACTTGTCCCTATTAATGTGTGGAATTTCATATTCACAGTTTTTGATAATCCAATGATTTTACTGATGGGTAACCTGAGAATTGATTCAATTATCTTATGTTTTTT